GCACTCCAGTCTGGGTGACAGAGTGAGACTCCAACTAAAAAAAAAAAAGAAGCGCACCCAGAGAGAGAGACAGAGAGACATGTCAACCATGTATCCAAGGGCAAACAAAATGAGAGTTAAGCATGGAGGTCATTGATGTGCTTGGACGTGCAGACAGAGCACTGGGTGAGTCATGGTAACTGGTGGCTAAAAAACAGAGGCTTTCTAGAGGAGGGAGCATCTCAGCCAGGGCCTCTGAGAAGGAAATAGAGGCTGGGCACGGTGGCTCATGCCTGTAAGTCCCAGCACTTTGGGAGGCAGAGGTGATAAGACTGCCTAAGCCTAGGGGTTTGAGATCAGCCTGGGCAACTTGGTGAGACCTCATCTCTACAATAAATCAAAAAATTAGCCGGGTGTGGTGGCATACACCTGTGATTCCAGCTATTTGGAAGGCAGAGGTGGAAGGATCACCTGAACCCAGCAGGTTGAGCCTGCAGTGGCAGTGACTGTGCCACTGCACTCCAGCCTGGGCGACAGAGACTCCAACTCAGAAACAAACATATACACACACGCACTCATGAAACAGATTCCACGACTGGAAAATGGGAAAAGGACAATCCAAGCTGAGTGGCCAGTACACGCAAAGGCCCAGAGGCATGGGAGTCAATGCCTTTCTGGACTTGTGGTGGGATGAGAAGACAGGCTGGGGCCACGTGGGAAAGGGCCTTGAATGCTAGATCAAGGGTTCAGATCTTATCCGGAAGTGCCAGCAGTGGGAAGTCCCTGGAGTTTTTGAAGCAGGGTAGAAAATGATTATTGGTAGGAGGGTAGTTTGGTGGGCAGCAGTGTAGGGACAGATGGGAGAGGAGAGATTCGAGTGCCAGGGAGATGGGTTAGGATGCTGATGTGGTGGTGGTGGGGGGGTGGATGGGCATTCTAACGGAGCCAGTGGCAGTGAGCACCAAGGGGGGGACGGATGTGAGGGGAGGGAGACTCAAAAGGTATTGAAACTGACAGAAGGTGAAGGAGGAGTGAGGCCGTCCCTGAGTAGGGACGGCCGGCAGGGCGCAGCCTTCTCCCGTTCCACAGTGGTGGGCTCACCTGGCAAGGTGGCATGCAGGACAGACAGCACCAGGGCACGAGTGCTGAAGGGCTCTCGGCTCATGTTGGCAAAGACAGGAACACAGAGGCGGCCCAGGATGAAGCAGGCATAGAGCACACAGCCCAGGGCCTGGAGAGGGGGGTGGAGGGACATGAAACTTTGAGGGGGGACGGGCAGCTGCCAGTGGAACTGGACCTCGAGCCCAGCATCTGCCTCCTCTTCCCTTAGCACCACCTTCTGGCCTCCTGCCTAGGCCTCCCCTGCCTCGCTCCCAAGGAATCCCTCCCCCACAACCCTGCGTCTTCTGACCTGGGCAAAGTTCTTGGCCACATAATTCCACCTGACGCTGGGCGTCCTGCAACAGCAATGAAGATAGTGTGTTTCTCATTCTTTTATGCTGTCCCCTGCTCAGGCTGGCGGGGGCTCTGGGGCCCTCTCTCTGCAGTGACCTCAATTGCTCAGGCCTGAGAGGATTATCTGGGGAGGCGGGGTCTAGGACACTTTGGATTTTCCATAACAGAGATGACAAGTGGATTTCTAGGCTGGGCGTCCACTAAGGTGACCAGCCAACCAGAGTTTCTCAGGAGGTATAGAATTTTCAGTCCTAAAATCAGAATGGTCCTGGGTAAACTGGGACCGTTAGTCACCCTAGTATCATCATGGGCTGGGCAAGGCGAACGAGTGGTCTACCTGCTCCTTATTTCCGGTCTTTATGATGGGATGCTTTCCGACAAAGTGGCTCGTGCCTGAGGTGAGACTAGGGACCTCAGGGAGGGAAGGCAGAAGGGCAAGTCCCAGATGGGCTGTGCATCTGGGCAGGGTGTACAGGGTCTTCTTACCTGGGGTATGTCTCCCTGTAGATGAGTGTGGGGCAGAAGAGGAAGTAGAGGTAGCTGGAGAAACTGGGGGCGCGGATGTCCTCACCTGGGGAGGAATGAGAGGGGCAGAGGCAGAGGTGAGAGGCTTGCTGGGAAGGGTGTCAGGACTGGTGAGAGGAGAGATGGAGGGGACAAGGTAGGGGGATGGGCGAGGAGCTGACACAGGATCAGGGTGCAAGTTGGGGAGGGAAGCTGGACAGGTGCTGAACATGCTCTTTGACACCCCTTCTTTCTATTTTTTTTGTTTTGTTTTTCTGAGTAGGAGTCTCACTCTGTCGCCCAGACTGGAGTGCAGTGGCTGCTCCTGGCCACC